CAAACATGAAAACCGAAATATGCCTTACATAACTGAAAATATTCATAGAATCGTAGCGAAGTGATGAGGATCTAGAAAGCCATTTATAATGTTATATTTTGCCTAATCAGTTTTCCTATACACGGTATCACGCTGTATGGATATTTGTTATGGACTGAATATTTTATTTCTTTCTTATTTGATTATCACTTTTGGCGATAAAGTGAGCATAATCTATGAACCAAGCTGTTCATTGCAAATTCAAAAAGAATATTCAAGAGTCATTTTTCAAAATGTAAAAATTAAATCTATATTTACACCTTAAACTTCAAACAAATGTTCACACTTCACTTCCTCTTAAACCGCTAATTTTCTTTTGATCGGCACTTCTTAAACCGCTAATATTTTATTGCTTTCAACAATTCCCTTTTACTCATTTTATTTATAATGTATGGATTTTTTTTTCCTAATCATAATTAGGACTGCTGGATAATGTGCTGAGTGATTACTTGTGGGCCAAGGCTGTTCTTCTCACATCTACCACAGTAGCTACAGCTGGTCTTACTATTCAGGTCCCATTGGCTGCCATTGTGGACACCTTGAGTGGCCATGCTCCTGGCTTTATGGATTACCTTGGAGCTATATCTGTCATGATTGGCTTTACTGGAATCAATATTCCTTCGGACACTTTTAGCAAATCCAGAGAAACTGCCGTGGAATTGGAAAATGAGAGTTTGAATATAAGGACTGAAGAGCTTCCTTCTCCTAAAAGCCAAGATTGAGTTTTCATATCATAACTGTACATTATATTCATTCATTTCACGTGTTAGTTGAAGGTGGTCTTTCAATACCAATTTAGTCGCAGAAACTGAAATATGCTATCATACTCAAGAGGAAGATAGAAAAGCTAGAACAAAGGAAGATGGTTTACTAGATGAACACACGAGATTGCACCTGGAGAGACAAGAAGCTGCCATGTGGTTCAGCAAATTACTACTTAAGACAGGGTTCACCCACAAACTACATGTCATCACAAGTTTGAGATAATGATTTCTATTCGTTTTGCATACTTTGTAAATGTTAGTTCTATACCTTAAACCTGATCAGAAGGTCTTAAGTCATAGTCATTCATTTCATAATAGTTTTGCTTGCTCAATCATACAATCTGTGTAAAGTAGCACAGTCATTTACCTGAAAAAACAAATCAATTACACTTGTCTTTTTTAACCCTCGGTTAAACATATTAGTATATTTGTTTTTAATTTCTTTTCTTTATTATAGATTTTTATGAATGTGACTTATATATATATGATTACATAATTATGTCTAGTTTGTGACTGAGTGCAGTTTATTGTGAGCAAAGGGAACAAGAACGATGCTTATAGAGTAGTACGCGTTCTTCTCTTTGGTTTTGATAGTCGTTGTGCTTTGTTTAGTTTTATGTTTTTATTTAATTCAAATGTTAAATATATTTTTGTCCTCAAATTAGTATAAGAAAGTGTTTCTTTCTATTTTGTCTTTACACTATATAATTCATTGTGATTTTTTTTTCAGTCACATGAAGAATTTCATATTTCGTTTGTTGCAAAAGATGTTTTATATGATTTTTAATAAAATGTAGAAATTAAATATTTTATAATTTAATTTAGATACCAAACATTTTTAATAATTTTGAGAAGAAAAATATATTAATTATTTTGTCTTTACTAATGCTTTTGTACCTAAATGAGATCCTTGTGGACAAAGAATTTGGAAGAGTTCTCAGTTTTGGATAAGTCCTTCCAAGCAACTAATAGCACAAAAACGGATTAATTTTCTTATGCTTTTATTTGGACGGAGAGTGGAAGAAAATAAGAGAAAATTGAGTTGGCTCTTCCTTTTCAGGACACTCTAGAAAATGCACTAGAAATTTAACTTATGTCCAATATCATAAAAAAAAGTTTATTAATATTTTAAACAAATATGGACTTATTTCGATATCCTGTCGGAATTTGATATTCCTGTAGATAATTTTGAAATTCGATTAGGATCTATTAATTCATGCACTTGTTTAACATCAAAAATTAAAAAAAAAAATTGACTTCTCCAGTTCTATTGACAATCACCAACACAACAACACCTCCACCATGTGTTTAGAACAAATGAGAGAAGTACAAAACAACGAAGTTTATAAATTCAGATTTGCTATCTGCACCTCACATATTTCACCATGCACCTCCCAATTTTGAGAATCTTCCTCTTCATTTAATAAAATCTGAAAAACTGTAATGATGATTTAATGATTTTTCAACCACTAACAACCCTAATATTATACTATTGTACTATAATCCTAACCTCATGCATGTATCCTATTTCATTTGTCCACCGTTAATATCGTACTATAAGCTTGTGCATGCACTCCTATCTTATTTCGTCAATGTTACATTTCTTATTATTTTTTTTTATTAAGTTTTATTTGTGAGAGGTTATATTGTGAAGGAATACATTGGTGGTGATCGTGGTGACCATGCTGTGGTGGTTCTTGGAAGAGAAAGGTGTTGGGTGGTGGTTCGAGAGTCCTTCATGAGGTTAGTACAAGAGATTAATACACATTAACATCCTTAAGCAGCATGGGAAACTCGATTTAGGGTGAACCGATATTCGAACACTAACTTTTTTAGTGTCGCAGTTGAAAGTGCGGCGGCCGAACATCCCTCGGCAGCTCTCGAAGTTCGGTTGTGTAGAATTATGTTTTTTTTTTATTATTTGTTTAATGTTTTTATATTTATTTATTTACATTGTTTTATTTATCTGTTAATCATATTTATTTTTATTATTTTGCTTTACAAATTTTTTGATTTAATTTATAAGATGTTTCTATTTATTTTTATAATATGTTATATGTTGTTTTTTAAATTTAGTTTTATGTTGTATGTTGTTTCTATGCTTTTATCCAAGTGTTTTAGTTTTATGTTGTTTTTTATTTCGTTATATATATTTTTATAATAAATATGTTTAAAATATTTTGTATTTAAATTATAATATGTTAATGTTTTATGTCATTATTTAAATTGTAATAATTTTCGTTGTATTTTATTTTTTAGGTTTTATTTATTAGGTGATTTTTATGTGTTATTTTTTTTGAATAATTGTTATGATTTTTTAAATATTCTGTCATTAATTGTGTTATGATTATATATATATATATATATATATATATATATATATATATATATATATATATTATTGTTTTAATTGTGTTATGATTTGTTATATATATTATACTATTTCATTTGTTTTATATATATATTTTACATATTAATGAAGTTTTATTTATTTTTGAGTAATTTTTTCTATTTAGTATTTAGTTTAATATATTTTATGTTATTTTGTATTTATTATATACATTTTGTTATGTGTTAATTTTTTAACTTTTAATTTAATTTAAAATATTTTATGTTATTTATGATGTATTAGTTAATTAATTAGGTGTTATTTTTTACGTAGTAGTTAATATTTTTTTATGAAATTTTTTTTATTTCTTATTAAGTTTTTAATGTTTTATATGTGCTAATGATTTAAAGTTTTATTTAATTTTGAATAAGTTTTAATTTTTTTTTATTTAGTATTTAGTTTCGAATATTTTTTGTTATTTTGTATTAGCACAATATGAGCTTGGAATAATTCCTTTGGGTGAAATAATGTTATGTGAACCCGTTTAAGCATTTCAAGTATTGTGTCTACATAATCGCTTCCAGAGTTTAGCATTGATTGTGAAGTTCAACTGGTACAGGAACGATTCAAGAAGGTTGACATTGATGAAAAAGTCAACATTAAGCAGAAGATGCTCGAAATTGTTTGCCCAGAGATGACATCTATGGTTTCTCCTTCGTATAAAGTGAAAACAAAAGGTGCACATAAGACTAAAGTTGCACGACATGAGAGGTCTATGAAACGTGACCCATCATATTTTGAGCATGTTGACACTTTGCATTCGAGAACAGAGCCTTTATCACGAAAAGCACAAGTCAAATCGAAGGCCAAAGAAGTTGCGCGAAGGCTAGTACTGATGTTAAATCAATTTCATCCAATCTGTCATCCATACATTGTCGATGTTGTTGATGTTGTTGCCGATGGTCATTACGGTTATCGATGCATTGCTGCTTTGTTGGCCTTAGGGAGTTAATACGAATTATATAGATCTTGGAGAAGACTGAAATTAACTTTGTTATGTAGTAATTTACTTTTTTAATTGTAAATACTTTTCGTTGTATAATTTGATTCAACGAAGGCAATTCATATTAACGCGTTAAATAAATTATAATTAGTCAAAGTATGAAAACCATACATAATTATGCTTTATAAATACTCAAAGTATAAATAAACGTTACATAAATAACCATTAAAAAATAAACATATATAACAATGTCCTTTCAAGAAAATGATGCTCGTCCACGCACATGACGACCACCTCTACTAGCCTTATACTCCTCAACGGACCTACGAGCTACCTGTAGTGTCTTAGTAGTACGCTGATAAGCTATAGTGCCCTTTGTGATGTCTCGATAGGTTAACATGCCCTGCAACATCCTAATCACACGCCTCATACCACCCTGAAATTAATATAACAAAAACTTTTTTACTATGTAAACAATAACAAAAATTGATAAAAAAAGCCATAAGAGTTAGTTTCATTACATACCAACAATCCTAGCTCAGGCGACCATCTACTACGAACTGGGGGCACCCAAATGTCATCTGGAAGGTCTTGCCTCATGCGCAGTGTAAGACTGGGTCGGTCATCGTTGTCGGCTAGAGTGATATATGGGTGGGACACCCGCCTAAACCACACTAGGTATCCATCAATACACGCAGAGGGATCATGAGCTTCAACGACACTGGTAATGGCATGCTCTACATACCGCAACCAATTTAGATCAATCGTAGGAATGTCTGGCATCGGAAGACTCTTAGGCGACTATGGTATGATTTGCTGAAAATCGAACTGATGCAACACGCGTTCAAGCAGATGTCGATGAATCATGTCGCCTAGTCGGATCCATCCCGAAAACATAGATATGGCCATGAATGAGCAAGTGCGTCTGTGCGAAATGTATGGATGCCAAATGACCGCATCATAAGTGAGGGCATCCAGATATTTTCGTCCCTCCATCAAACTCCAACCCTGCCTCGGAGGTATGTATCGTGAAGCCTATGGATCGAGGTTTGTGTACCTCCCTGACACTTGCCTCCTTCCCATGCCAGAAAGATGTCCATATATCCAACTCTAAAAAAAGCATTACTTAAATTGCTTTATTCATTCCTAAAATATATTAAAATAAACTTTTAAAACTAAAATGTAGAAGAGTGGAATATCCAACTATGTACTTGACCTCAGTGAAGCTAGCATCTCCTAGCTGCTCATAAGTATGTCTTGAAAATGCATTCAAGTCTCGCAAGAGAAATAGGTACGAGACTCGAATTAGAGTGTCACTCTTATTCGTAAAAATCGTGCATCCAAGCAGATTCAACAAGTAGGCCCGAGCAGCGCACTTCTAAAGCTCCTGCTCAATGCAGTCTTGGTAGACCTCTCGGAGCCAGCTTAGCCTAACTTTTGGACCGCGTGGCTGTTTCATCTCAGCTGAAGCTTTGATGCGGTCCACGCTAAGTAGCTCCATAATATGAGATCGAGCTTAATCATACTCTAACTTCTCGACCTCAAAAAATTGATCCATGATGGGTAGGTGGAGGAGATTGAGAATGTCATCTAATGTGATGCTCATCTCACCTACCGGGAGGTGGAAAGTATTCGTCTCCAGGTGCCACCTCTCCGAAAGGGAAACGATCAATCCATGATCGGCATACTCGTATGATAGGTTCACTAAGGAACCCAACCCCGACATGGAGATATAAGACTCAATAGCCTCATGGAACATTCCAAAATGTTTTAGTTTTTTTCCCATGGGAGATCACCTTGATCCCCCTTCGATGCTACATAAAAACACAATTATATAACAAAACTAAATTAACAATTAATGAACAATTAACATTTAGGTTGATGACTAACCCGACCTTGCCATATGACAAATGCAACGTGCTGGGTATAATGGGTAAGCAAGGAGGTGTCATGTGGACCTCCTAGGAATCCACCATCTTCATCTTCATCTTCTTCCTCACTATAGTCATCCTATTGTTGAACATCCTCCTGCTCAACATAGTCATCTTCACAATGTCCCTGTTGTATAAACTCGTCTTGTCCCTCATGCTATGCTCATGAAGGACATCCATACGATATTCTTCTACACATATTCTACGAGCGAATGTCGTAGGTCGTCACCACGAGAAGATGAAACACCTCTAGTTCTAACCCTTTCTGTAAGACCCGAAGAAATTTAATTTAATTTAAATGTTTATTTTCATTATAATAAATATGAATCATTTATTTTGCTGACTTTTGAGTGTTATGGTGGTGCATACAATTAATTGTTGTGGATGACATATGTTATATTTAATCTGGAATAGTTATTTTAAATAGTGGTTTTTGTAATTATATATCAACTGTTTGGTTTAGTGGTAGATGGACTTAGTTTGGTTATACCCTCTAAGAGGGCCTGTGTTAGGAATCTCTTCTAGAGGGTTACTCCCTACACCACCCCACTTTGTTCCCTGCACCACCACATTTTGTTGTAATAAAATGGTGCAGATTGGTAGTGAAAAACCCATGGGTGTGTGTCGTGGTATGAATGTAAAAGGTTATAGTGTTGTAGTTGTATGATTCTCTGGAAAAGAACGTGTGCATTGTTAGATTATGAATGGGGTAGCCTCGGGTCGGCTAGGGTTTCAAAAACCTAGATTTTGAGTTGTTTTAAAAGGAGATAATCATTGGGTGAGGAAGCGCATAGGAGTAGAGTTAAGGTTTATACACATTTTAATGGGCATCAGAGGTTGTAGATGAGAGTTGGAATCACTTGACGAATGGAGGGTTCATTGACGAGTGTTAGGTCTGGGTGTTGGGTTTCGTTCTTCCCTAATAAGGTCTTCTTGTATGATCTTTGAGTGTGGGAGTGTTCTAAAGGTAGGAACAGGTTCGTTGGGATGGAGTAGGCTCAAGTTGATTACCTGGAATGTGTAAAATAGTGAAAAAGGTGAATGTAATATGTTTATATTAAGTAGGAAATATTAATGGATTCTGTGCGTGTTCGTTATATTTATAATGTGTAAAGTGGGGGGGTTTATGTCAGGAATTAGGGCATGGGATTCATGGGTTGGTTAAAATTTTGTGTTGAATGTATATGAAGTTGGTATGTGTCTGTGATTGAACAATGATGGAAGTTCACGTGGGATGATTAATTGAAAGTGGAATTTAGGTTGTAAGCTAATATATATATATAAAAGGATGGTTTCAGGGGGAGGTTTTCACGTGTGATGTATATATGCATAAATATTATGTAATAAATGTTAAAGTGTGGGACCCATGGGAATGAATGTGTTAATTGCATGGAAGTAAGAAAAGAGAAGTTTCGGAAAGTGAAAATTGATATTATGGATATGATGGTGTATAAGTTTTGGATGTGCATGATGAAGGAAAAAGGGGTGGACCCGCGCGGGGTCAACTTTGAATGGTAGGTGAACTTTTCATCTTTGGTATATGCATGTTGGAAGCTAAGAGGTGTAATTGATAATGGTAGAAATACTTTGTAATATGGTTGATTTGCAAGCATGTGATTATACGTATGTTGTCTATACTTTTACACTCCGGGTTGTCACTTTTCCTCTTGCGGGAAGGTAGAAAAGTGGATCTCTTCGTCTATGAGAGGTGGTGGAAGAGATGAATTTCTTCGTCCTAGAGCGGCGGTAGAAGAGACTAGAAATTTGAGTGCTAACTTTCCTCTTGCAGGAGGGTAGAAAGGAATGGATGTCTCGTCCGTAGGGTTTCGACTCATGTTGAGTTCTGTGTTATGATAGACATGTTGGAGCAGGGGAGACAGGTCTGAAACTGCGGTGGACAACCACTCGAATCTTTTGTTTCGGCAAAATGGAATATCCAGGGAAGTATAGAAGATGAGAAAAGGGTTATAAGAGAATTTGGTGTAGGCACGGGCTGCCTTTGCTCGATAGGTGAGATAGAGCTAATGGGAATGGTACAGATTCCCATTAAGGAAATGGTTTAGGGTTGTGATGATGGTTGTTATAGTCTTATTGAGTATTGATGAATGTTATGTGATATAATGGTGATGAAGACTTAACAACTATGATATAAATGTTATATTAGTTGATTTGATGTTTATTCTGTTAGTTCACCCTTGCAATTGTTTGTGGTTGTAGTTTCCACCTGCGATGATCGTATGACTCAAATTGTTATACGGGAGCAGATGATGATAAGGGTGGTCCAGTGGATGCTTAATGCGGAAAGGATAACGAGAGACTTGGGAATTTTATTTCTTTGGGAATTTTTGAATACAGATTATGGTTGTAAATTTGTTTAATGGATCAATGCTTTCAATTGTTTTAAATTGGTTTATTGAAATTAATTACGAATTTGAATGTGTTAATTTAAATTTTACGAGTTTTTTTAAAGGATTTATATTCTTTTATACCCTGAAATGTTATGGTTATAGAATCCAAATTGGGGTGTTACATTTGTGGTATCAGAGTTAGGTTTTCGAAAATCTTTTGGGGCATTTGGGTTGTGAGCTTGCTAGTTATGTAATAGGCTTATGTGTTAATAAAGATTATATTATGATTTCCTTTATGAGTTGCTTAATTTGTATGTCTTGTGATCTTTTGTCATGTTGAAGGAACATGACATGTCAACCAAACAATCAAACCCAATCATCTAGTGCTGAGGTTTTCTCTCAAGCGGTTGATCGCATGGTCAATGCGATAGAGCGACAACAAAATCACCCTCAACCAAGGAATAATTCTGGATTAAATGACTTCTTAAGGCATAACCCACCGCGATTCAACGGAAAGATTGGTCCTGACAAAGCAGAAGCATGGATCAGGGGAAACGAAAAGATTTTTTCAGTGATGATATGTTCGGAAGAGGAAAAAATTGGCTTATGGAACTTTCTTGTTAGAGGACGAGGCAAAATATTGGGGGGAGGGAATGCAACAGATAATGACGACCCGTGGAGAAGGTATCACTTGGGAAAACTTCAAGACCAGATTTTTGGAGAAGTACTTTTCGAACAGTGTCAGGGTGGTAAGAGAGACAGAGTTTTTAACTCTTCAACAAAGGGAGATGTCAATTCAAAACTATGTTGAACGATTTGAATTTCTAGCTCGCTTTTACACGCAGACCATGATAGAGGAATGGAAATGTCAGAGGTTCGAAAGGGGACTGAAGCCTGAGTTGATGAGGATGATTGCACCTCTGGAAATTAAAGAATTTTTGGTGATAATTGAGAAAGCTAAGGCAATGGAACAACTAGAAGCAGATCTCAGTCGAGTCATGAGGACTCTGAAAGGTAGTTTCTTGAAGAAACATCAACAAAAGAAGCCTTATCCCAAGCCCGCACTGAATAAGTCAGGACCCATCAAGTGTTTCGAGTGTGGAGGAGCCCATTATAAAAGGGATTGTCTGAAACTCGCAGGAAAACAAGTAGATGAGAGAAAATGTTTCATTTGTGATAAATCAGGACATTTGGCCTATGCTTGCCCCGAGAGAAAGGCGCTGAAGGGAACTCAGGCACATAAGTCGTCTGAAGGAAAGCCAAAAGCGGTTGGCAGGATGTTTGCTATGATGGGAGAGGAAGCAACTTAGTCAGGTAATCTCATACTTGACACTTGTTATTTGAATGATAAACGTGTGTATGTTTGTTTGATTCTGGAGCCACATATTTGTTTGTGTCTTTTGCATGTTTGGAGGAATTGGGTTTACCTGTGTGTGACTTAGGATGTGAGTTGGTGGTTTCTACCCCGACATGGGGACATATTACGAATAAAAACTAAATAAGTAATTTAATTTAATAAAAACAAATTTAGAATAAACTAAAATTAAATATACATAATAAATAATATATGAAAAAATACAAATAAAAAAAACAAATAAACTAAAATTAAACAAAAAAATATACATAATAAATAATATACAAAAAATTTAGAATTATAAAAAAAGACAACAAATTCAAAAACATTAACAAACAAATAAAAAAATCAAAACATACTCTGAAAACATATTAAATATTATTTAACAATAAAACATAACATAAAAATTAAAATTACAGAATATATAAATATAAAATATTAACAAAAAAGTATACAAAATATTAACAAAAATAAATTTAATATACTAACATTATAAAGCGAAAAAAGAAAGCAATAAAAAACATCCTAAACTGCAATTCAAACTACGACGAACACCAACCACAGCTCCAAGTGTGACGAAACCACCAACCGCTGCTCCAATTACGGCGACCAACAACCACACTTCCAAGTGCAACTCCCATCAGCTGCATCTCCAACTGCGGCACCCCCTTAACTGCATTTCCAAGTGCGATGGGGCCTTAACTGCAATTCCAAGTGTGGTTACGGCCTCCGACTTTGTCCCCCGCAGTTCCATCATGCAGAAACCCAGAACAAGCACAAACACAATAATAACAACAGACCAAACATTTTTTAACAGTACAACCATCCATCATGGATCATATACTCTATCCTAGAATGAGTTGAAATCATAACAAGAACCAATCAATGTGAAATGTGTGAGAAGAAGAATTACCCTTGCTATAGCTCACCATGATACCAATACCACACAGTCACCAAACCAGGGAGGAGGAAAGGAAAGGAACACTCAACAAGAATACCTTAAAAAGAAATGGTAAAAAATGAGAAAAGAGGGGAGGATGGGAGGAGCGTCAGAAGAGAGGAGAAAGAAAAGGATGTAGGCTTTTAGATATGAATTGCGATGAAGAGGAGGAAAGAAGAAGAAAGGGAGTGTAAGGTTTGCAAATCTGAAATGGGGGAGAAGAGGAAGGACTAATGCTTATTTTTAGGAAAATGTTATTTGGACAACGAAATTTTGACACAGATTTAACAACGCCACGTGTCAGCTCTTGATTGGCCAAATAAATTGAAAATAAAACAGAGAAAGGGTTACGGGGCGAGGGGTATTTTGGGATTTCGAGGTTAAAATTTGAAGAATTGGGTTTCGCGGTTTAGGGTGGGAAAGACGTTCGTTCAACCCTTGTCGCTCTCTCGCTCTCTCGCTCTCTCGCTCTCTCGTTAAAATTTAAAGAATTGGGTTTGGGCGGTTTCGGGTGGGAAAGAAGTTTGTTTCAACCCTTCCATATTGTGTCTCGCTCTCTCGCTCTGTCGTTCGTCTTCGAAGCTTCCATCTTCGCTGTCGTGTCTCGCTCTCTCGCTCTATCATTTTTACTTTGTGTTAATCTCACTTATAAGACAAAAGTAGTGATTGAAAAATGAACGCAACATTATAATAAGAATTTTGAAAGTACGAGACCATTTTCAGTAAAATTAATGGTATTAATGGGAAGGAGTTGATCAAATTCTGAGTGGGGAGATGGGTGTTGGTCATTGATGTAAACGCAAGAAGTGTGGAGTGAATAAGGAAGAG